AGAGATGAAGTCTCGTCAAGGCGAAGTATGCCTTCCATATCGGAGGTTGATGAGATGGAGATGATGTAGAGGAGGTAGACATGATGGATTTCCTGGTTGTGGGGAAATTTGAGAGGATGTCATATAGCATAAACGTCTCTGAGCTTTATAGAAGTCCAGGGTAGGCGATCTCGCGTCAATTGCATTATTCGCAATGGGTGCGTGGATACCCGAAGTATGATCAGCTAAATGAGGCATGGCTTGAACACGTCAAGCTTCAGGGAAACACAGTGTGTGATATGTCTCAAATTTCACCTATATCTCTGGAGCGCCTTGCTTATAGACCCTCATCTATCACAAGAGGAGAACGGCCAGCAGTCGGCATACCATATGGTTGCACTACGCATGGCGACAATATTATTATTTCAGTGAAGGGCACTTGGTCTTGTAGGTTCAGAATACTACTTACTGTGTAAAAGGGATTGGCGGAGAATCAGTGGCCAAAGCTGAGAAGCTGCTCGTCGGCTCTTCCGCAGCTTCACCACATGGCGAGCGGGCTGAAAAGATGAAAACGATCTTGAGAAGCTGATGCTTAGTAGGTGGCGGTGGAATTAATTCATATACAATATTGGGCTATTGAGTATTCAAATCGAAGAATTTCAGCGGTGAAAGAAGTTGATCGGAGACGAGGCTTAGTAGATTTTGAGACATTGACTTGATTGAAGTGAGTCGACGGTAAAGCGCCGCTTCTGATCCAACGCTCTCGCGAGCAGAAGCATCGGAGTTCTCCGGTATACCGGCTACCAAAATTCGTATTGATGCTGAAGATCACAGAATATCTGTAGTCTGAGGACACGATTCCATGCCCTTAGGACGTGAGTTCGCTGGATAGGTAGGATCCACGACATCGGAATTGATCGAATCGATTTGTCACTCACCAATGTTAGTCATTCGGCGGGCGTTGGTGTATTTGAGATCCCAAACTTCTGATAATTGACTCCATCAGTCCCAGGTCAACCACAGCCTTATGCGGGTGTCTGTCCGAGGAATTCGGGGCGTTTTCACATGGAAGACCGGAAGGCTCGAATTTGAGGCGTCGTGCCAAATTCCGAAGAGAGTGCACGCGAAACTCGGGACAGCGGTCGGGTAGACTTGAAATCGACCGTGTCCTTGAACCGAACGCTTGAGGTGTTCGGGTCGCACAAATCCAAGTATTATGCTTTCTTCTCTTGCATGGCGAGTACTATCCAGCGGTTCTTCTCCTGCTAAATGTGGCATAGATCATTTCAAAGACAGTTCCCAGGTTACTCAGATTCAGCGCACAATGGGAGCGCTGCAATAGTTGTGCTAACACAAAGGTTTCCACGGATGCCTTTCGAAACCAAAACATAGAGACGCGCAGCGCCGTTAGATCCGACCAACGGAAATGACGATTTGAAACTGAAACTCACATCTGAAGACGTTATAAAGCTGAGCCGCCCGATTGCTCGTCATCAATGCTATCAAGAGAAGAAAAGAGCTTCAGACACGAACATTAGACGACTGAAGAATCAGTTCGTAGAGATGAAATTGTAGGTCTTCTACCGCTGGGATCCTTCGAACTGAACACTAGGAATTGTCAGAGATAAGGCCTAGTTTAAATGTCACCATAGCCCTTAGATGAATGCCTTCACTCCTCAAGCAGAATTCTCAAGGTCTAAATCTCCCAAGTGTATTGACAGGCACGCGTTGGTATTGAAGACGAGAGAATGTCTGTAGTCTTTAGACGCGATCACTCACCCAATGCAATTTAGATGAAGGCAGGAAGCATGACATCGAGCTGAAGCGCTGATGGAGGCGGCTTGACTAGCGTCGAGAAGCCCGCTCCCCGGCGCCGCTCCGTGACAGTCGGTGCGTGTGGCTTCTCAACATCTGATTGACTCCATCATGCATCAACTATGGGACCCTGGGTATCATGATCATATCAGAGAGGAGCACACAAATTTCCCTGGTGTCTATCTTGCGCGTTGTGCATTCTGACTAGGAATCTGGGACCGAACCAATCACCCACCCGCAGACCAGTCGGACGCGCATCAGCGCGCAGGGAACGGGTAGACTCCACTCCAATTTTTACCACGAACCAACTGCAAAATGAGTCACTCTTGTCTGGATTTGATGGTCGACTGTCGTCAACGCCGTATCCAAGACTAGAGCAACTAAGGCTAGGTAGGTCTGTACTATACGGTATGAACCGAAGAACTAACTTCGGACACGCTAACTCATGATTCATGACCTTGTATTCCGGAGCACTTTCTTACCGAGTCCGCTCTCCCTCACGCTCAACACAAACTTGAAATGCAGGTCAGAAACACTCGCGCTTACTGCGGTGGGAAAGGCCCGGAACACGCTCCAAAAGATTGTTGAACAGCGTTCAAAGTGACTGCTTCAAGATGGTATGGAACCTGTACCGACTTGTTGACATCAGCTACTAAACCTGCGCACAAATGTCACGTATCTCACCCCTCGAGATCTTATCATGCGTGAGTAACTTTCGCGACAAGTTACGAGCCCAAAAGTTCGTCTCGCACATCATAAGGAACGAGTTGATAACTAAAAAAATGAAGAATATCTCCTGCCCATTCCGAAGCTGTATGGACGCTCACACAACGCACATACCAATCTCTGACAATTGGTAATCGCTTGATCTCGCACAGGTTTCCGTACGTCTCAAAAACATCCAACGGTGTCAGGGTACGACCTACTAGTAGCGCAGAAGCATCATCGGAAGAAACTCTCATGTCGAATAACTGGTGATCATAGTTCCTAGGTAGTCAGGAGATTTAGCAGACGAAAGGGTTTGAACGGCCGTACAAAGAATCATCGAGCTTGTATCTGGTTGTGTAGAGACACGGGATAGCGAACCGAGACAGCGAATTCAATCAACGAAGATGCTGCAATAATCTGAGGTGTTGCAAGCCATAAGTAGAATTGACAAGACCGATATCAGATCATACACTAACCGAGGGGATCTGTACGATAGTCATATTCCGGCGAGCAAAGGTACCCTCTGATGCGCTCCCCTGTGAAGGTAGACATTGGATGGAGCTTTCGTTCTTTTCCATCATTTTCGACGTTCCACCACCAGAATGTGCCGTGGAACGGGTCAAATCGCCGATCCTGAAACATCTGACCTCTAAAACCGAAGCCGACAGACAGCCAATGGACAGAAGGGAGGTGTTCAATGAGGGCTCCCGCGAGTTTTTCTGCAACCCTTAATTTTGTAGAGTCTGGTCCCAATGAGAATCTCGTTGGAGAAACAAGCTTGCGATCTGGAAGCACGGAGAAGTTATTGACGACAGCGCTGTTGATGCATAGTTCAATGTGGTAAAGATTCTTCAGCTGAGAGATAATCGGAAGGATCTGGTGCTAAAGGCAGAAGGATTAGGTAGTATTTACATGATTCTGAACTGAGGATGCCCACCAAGACCGCGATAAGTTCGGGGAGAGCATCTCTACCTTCGCGCATCAACTGCAGCTCTAGTTGTAGGCAGCGCAACCTTGGTGCAACTGCGACTAGATCCATCCAGAGTCGCGGGGTGAATTCCAAATCTGCGACAGTTCCCAGGTTGAGAGCGACAGGTGATGTGCTATGCACAATAAGCTTTGCATCGACTTTGTCGCTCGCATCAACGGCATCCCGGGAGCTAGCGGGGGTGAACCTCAGAGAGAACCCGAGGATTGACTCGATAGAGACAAAGTGCGTGGGGCAAATAATATTCCAATAGCGGAACGAGAATGGAAACACTTGCAGACAGTCTAGATATGACCAGCATGCATCGTCGACTATAGCCTGGGGCTCCGGCTCCTCACGATATACCCATAGTTGAAGAGTGCGTATACCGGGGAATGCGCGCACGCAGGTGGACTTGGATATCCCCCAATAAGAGATAACAGTAAGATTATCAACTCCAGGCCACACTCCGCCGGAGAAGGGAACAACAGGAATTGCATTCCTGCGTCCGACAAGGGAGTCACATACGGAGAACGTGCGCAAATTCGACATGTCGCCAATGCTGTTAAGGAGAAGAGCAGTGCTGATTGTTCCACGGTCTTCGGCGTGAAGGATAAGGGTCCGGGGGCGGCTACGCAATTGCCGCACAAGCCCCAGAGCGCGTGTCCCGATGCTGTCTAGCTCGAGCTTGCGAAGATAACGAACGTTACGAATTGCAGTGAAAATTTGGGGTTCAAGTTCCACGAGGACTTCGATAGGAGTGAGTGAGAGAGATTGCAGGGTTCCTTCCGCGCATTCTATGAGATTCGCCAAACGTTGTAAAGTACAACGAAAGTTGTCCAATGTGGCAACACTGGTTCGATTAGGATGTCTGAAAGCGATCGTGAGGCCGCGCAGCCAATGTAAGCGACCAGGAATATCGTCGAGCATGTGAAGGCAGAACTGGTAAACCTGGTCTCCCGTGGGTGTCAAATCATCTATCTCGACCACGGAGTAGGCATGTTGTCTTGCGACAAGATGAATCCCACGGGCAGCGACTGAGAGGTTAAGTGAATCTCGAATTGAGAGATAGGATATAATATGCGACACGACATCTTCGTTCAATTGCAGCAGCATAGGATGGATGGAAACTTATTTACATCCGATGTAAGCGAGGATTACAAGATCGGCACAAGGAGTGCTCGGTGACGCACCTGGAATTCGCCTGTATGTGGAGGAGCTGTTCGCCAGATATAAATCAAACGTCCCAAACTGTCCCGAGTCGCCACAGTAGCCGTGACGTCCAGCACTGCAATTCACGCGTTTGAACACGTATGCGATCGACGCAGCATAAGGGTTTCAGGAAACCTTGTAAGCAAGGAGTCGGTCGCTCAACCCCCTAGTAAACACTTGAGCCACTTGGAACTAGTCCGCAGGCAAGGCCGTAAGTAGGAATATTGGTGACCATGTCGCCTGTTCGTCGTCGCTGTCGGACCTGACAAATTGCCCACGTGGCGAAGAAATGTGATGGATAAATTATCAGTAGGCGTGGTGATCCTGCTGGTAGGAATTCCATTGCTGGTCTGGTTAGGATGAAAATTCACGTAGGTATCGTAGGCAAGACTAGACGTATACCACAGTTCGACAGAGGTCCGTTGCCACTGATGACAAACAAAGCGAAGACAAAAGTCGGTTAGAGGGCCGTCAGCGCTTGCTTCCCTCTCTTGTGAATATTTGCTGTTATCATTGACTCAAGGTTTTATTGCATCAAACGACTCCATGATTGCTTGCGAGTATGCGAGTTCTCCTGCCACGAGTCTTGCTTAAATGCTCGCAGTCCTAGGCAACGTATGAAATGCACAACTACTATTAGCCTTGTATTCCTCGAATCTCGTTCAGTGTATCACTGAAATGCTGTACAGTGAAGAGGGTATTTTTCTGAGGTTACCGCAGGGCCCTGCTTCCATGTAGGAGCTGTCGGCAACATTGATGAAGATCCACATGGCGCTGCGCGCAGCTGATGAAAACTGGGTATAATTGATGGTGACTACAGTGGTTTCGATGCGTGCCAAGATAGCTCCATGCAATGTCGGTGCTCTTGGGATACCGCCATGACATCCGATGGTTGCAGTATGCAAGGTATCCTCATGGCGATGGCGTGGTATGTCCTAGCCATTTGATCGTATATGTCCCTCATGTTCAAATCAAGTCAAGTTCACGGAACACATGCGCAACTGCCTATAATATACTACCACTTGCCACCTGTTCATTTCCGATAGACGAGCTGCCTGCATGCGCAATGCTATCGGATGAGGCGGGCGGACCGAGGGCGGACACTATACGGCTCGAAGGGGTTTCTGGGGAATCTCGGTTCCCTGCTAGTGAGAACCATGTTTTGGGAAATGACGGGATCATCCCATCTAGGAATCTTACCTCGCTGCCTTCTCTGCACTTCTGTTCTTTCTGTGCATTGTACTACATGCTGGTATAATTCATTGCTCGCCTCACGACTGACAGTACTAATTTACAGTCGGAGTGTCTCCGTAAGGATCACACATTACTGTACCTGCATGCTCGTATCTCCGATTTCATGATCGCGCAATTTCGCTTAGCAACTATTGCGGGGTCGGCCTCTTGCCCCATTCGAGTCTGCTGAAGAAGTGCAGGTGGTGTTTATTGCGTCCTTTCTGAAACATATATTACACTAGCGGCTGATTTCGGGATCCACGAAATACGTCAGATATTTACCCCATCTCCATTCCACAACAGCATATGATTGAGGATTTCGGTATGGAGAATCCTATCGTCGGGGATGAGTCTTACAGGAGATTAGAGTATTCATGCTCTCAATTGTGTTGCTGAGCTCGGGATGTACCTATGGAAACCCTTGTCTTTATCGTCATTGAATAATACTATCGTTAAACCACCCAGGGCTCGTCGAATGAATTGAAGAACTGTAGTCGTGATTGATAATTGCAAACTATATGTAGTAGGAGCAGAAAAGTCGCGAGTGGTCACAGTCCCGTGCAACTCGTCACGTCTCATTTCGGGTTTGAAATTCTCTCGCTCGCGGGCCGCGGCCGCAGGTGCCAGGATGTCTACTACGACGCGTCGACGGTACTTGTTGTTCACCTGTGACACCGAGTTGTCTGCTGGATCATACACGTTCAAAACGCCAGGCAAATGAAGCCAGAAATTGGACCATAAGCCTACCAGTGGTTCACATCCTTCGGGCGGCATGAGTCGTCCAGACCACATCCATACGTGTCAAGATAAGAACATGATGTCGTTGCGAACATCGACATGCTCAAGTTTACAGGTTTCAATGAGGCCATCGCGAGAACCCTGCTTCAATTTGTTTAGTCTTCGTCCATTTTGTCGCAAGACAGGAAAGCTTCCGGGACCGATAGCTTGTGTCTTCTCTGTGGAACGGTAATGGCCGTTGCCATACATATCCAAAATCTCCATCCCGAGTGAAATGCGGAATAAAAAGTATCAATGCATGTATGTGTCGTGGTTCTGTTTTCAGAAGACTCGTTTGACGGTCTAACGAAAGCACTGGTGTATAACAGTTAGCCTCACCCAGTCCATTTTATATCATCTCCTGTAGTAATCACCAACTTTGTTATGGTGACTTCGGCTGACTCGTTCAAGCTCACCACACTCAATGGCACTCCTTACGTGACTGCATGATGTCGAGGGCGTTGGACAGCGCAACAGCAATGCGACGAGGACCGGGTAAACCCAGCTGACATCCTCAGTCCGACATGACGTCTATCCCTCCTGTGAACCGGCGGCAATAGCACTACTTGCGATTGTGGTTTCTGCGCGCGTGTCACAGCGTGTTTTACGCGACGTGGGTGATGTTTGTGAATCATGGACATATTTCATCCATTCCGTCGATATCAACCACCTTGTTGCGGGCAATCAGCCTAAGGTGGAAGCCTCAGCTAGAATGCCAGGATATCCACCACACTGCCGCTGCTCATGGGCTCTCTCACGAATCAATACCACACTTGCCCTGCTCTAACTTGGTAAAAGATTCAATACCAAGTGACCAAGCAGATGGCCAGTTCACGATCCCAATACTAGTCCATAAGAGTGATAAGACAGTGCGTCAAAGTGTTGTTTTTTCTGTGCGTTTGTTGATGCGACGTCATTCCCCATCGCCCATGTAGAAGCACTTCTCTGCGTTAGTAGCTGCAACTCAACGTTGACGGTGCGTCCTCAACCATACCATTTTAGTGTTTATTCACGGGCTCCTCATATATTGGGCGGTGTTGATTTGTGTCCGTCTATATAGTGTGGCCCATCGCGTACCAGTGACCATTCATTTTATGTGAATTAGAAGATGTCAAGCTTTCCAGAGAATCCCGTCCTGTGCGTGATCAAAGATGTCCGTCTCTTCACAAAACACCGTGAGAATTGCTGCTGATAGACGTGGTGGCTCGAGGCATGCATAAAGCGCATGTTGGAGATTCCCAGATTGTCCTAAATCGGTCCAGCAATTCCGACAGAAGGGATATTACATGCATTATGGGCGCGTAAGCTAGACGAGCTGTTCTGATCGATGCGTATGTGTCGCTCATTTGTACAACGTGCTATGTTCTCAAGTTTACTATCCACAGTGGTTCTGGGGAAGCTCATCGGCAATCTCTATTTCCCGATGCCGTTACTGCTACCATGCAGTTGCTGCAGGAACTTAAATATTGCTGCCCACGAACAGCGCTCTCTGCGACGGAGAGCGCACTTTCCTCCCCGTGTCAACGTTTCGTCTCCCTCCTGCTACCACACTCCCCATTCATATACTAGTTTCAATAGTGTTTCATCGCGGATCTTACTGTTGCTCGTTCACTTTTTCTAAGTCAAGTCATGACTGTCGAGCTGCATGGTGTTTTCACCATCACCAATATTCAACATGGCAATCGAGTCATGCTGCCCAACAACAATCACGAGGAACAAGTCAACTGTGTAATTCCTGTCACCGAAATTGCTGATGTTGAAACGGTATGTAAACCCTCCCTTTCTCTCTGCTCCTTCTGTAGGCTCCCCTCTGAGTATCTCTCATGCGCCAACAGTGGAAATTCGAACCTAGTACTCTCGGTCGGCACCAAATCAGGAATGTGAAGCACGACTGTATCCTCTCGGCCCAGCATCCCTATGTACCTGGAACCTCTGTGGTGACAACTGAACGAAGGAACTGGTGGCTACTTGAGAAACTCAAGGACGAAGAGTATGGACCAGATGCTTATTTGTAAGTTTGTTCTCGTTGCCTAAATTAGGTACAAAAATGGGGTGCTGAATAGGTGGGATAGGATCCGGCATAACGACAAGAGAGATCTATGCTGGAGTTTAACCGATGGAAATGACGACACGCCGGTTAGTTGGACGGATAGTATATGTCGGGACATGAATATAACCTCACCCACAGGTTTATCTCCAACAATCTTCTGCCCATCGCCATAGTGCTTGGAGGGTAATTTTGTTTCCAACATCTTTTACATCTGGGTTATAATGCGCTGTCTTTCAGATTGTGCGTCATCTTCTTCAGAGTGAAAGCAAAAAAGACAAGCATGATGGCAGCCAAGATGAGAAGGCAGTAGAATCTACGTCTCCTCAGACATCATCGACCGAGCGCCAAGAGTCTGCTCAAAATGACTCGTCCAAGGACGAACCTAAGGACGATTCATTCTCTCAGAAAGCCCACTCGGAATCTACGAAGACCCATGTAGAGGACGATGATGACTCTCATCAAGACGCCACCAAAGCAGATGTACACAGGTACCGTAACCACATTATGTATCGTAATAGCATACGGATTCATGTTTGATCAGATCATATAGCAAGACTAAACACAATAAAAGCCGTACTCTTACTCGTGCTCCAAGTGGCGATCGTTTGCCGCACGAATCCTTTTCACTACGAGACCTTCGTGCCGCGCCGCAAAGTCACACAGATGGCGGATTAGATGATGGTGCAAGCAGACGTCCTCTTTCTCGTGGGGCTCGTGTCGAAATCCCTCGGGATCACAATCTCGCTGTAAGACATCCCACTGTCGACCATACCCTAGAGGCCGTTACTTCGCCTATTTCGCCTCGGACGCATGCAGAGCTACAGGCCCTTTTGAAGAACGGAGAAGGACATCCCATCAACGCCCGTGACAACCATGGATTCCCCGAGACGGCTCGTCCTATAGCTCACACGCATGCGGAACTGAAAGCCCTTAGGGAGAGTAGGGGTGTGGCGCCGATTGACACGCGTGGAAAGGATAACAATGGTGCAGGTCGCTCAGACACTTTAAACATACCCCAACCGCAGAAAGGGCGCCGGAGTTTCGGGAACCGCGGCCGACCGAACGTATCCCCTTCCAACTCTTCGCGCTCGATGAGCCCGGCTACGCCCCCACAGCTCCCGAGTATGCAGCCCGCTATTTTCTCCTTTGGATCCGCTTTTACGTCCGAGGATGACGCCGCCGAATGGTCAAGCCCGTGCGATGCGGACTACTTCCCCGCCAAGGATCCTAAAGATAACCTCGAAGATATCGACTTCTCTCGCCTTGGAATGGCCTATGATAGACCATCCAGCCCGCCAGTTTACCGTTCCCTGTCTCCAGCTGAACGAGAGCCCTCACCGATCAACACGTTCACTTTCAAAACGGACCCCAAGGGAGAAACATGGTGTGAGGAACGCACCGAGCGCGTTGTGCAAAATGGGTGGGGTGGCGGACGACAGAGTCCAGCTCTATTCGGAGGTAAGAGGGAAATGTAGCTCGTTATACTGTGATGTGCTGACGACGCATTGCAGACTCGGCTCCCCATATGGGCTTTTTCATGCGCCAGCAAGTACCTGTTAACACGATTCGACACGATACCTGGTTCCACTAGACACATATTTGACATGCTGTTCAAGCTAAATCGATGACCAGAATGCTCGTTGCCTCTGCGCGTATTTGCACGTTTGATATCTTGTATGACTCACTCTTACGTCTCTATCTTTGGCTGGCCATATAGTGCAGTGCATATCTATGATTCCTGCGAGGTTGTCAGTGCGTGAATGTTGTATATTTTATGTTGCAACTTAATGCTATGTTGTTTCACCAATGAAAACTTCCATATTTCTGAAACTGTCTATGCCCTTCGTTACTTCGAGCTCACGGATGCCATGAGGGAATTGACATTGAATTGAAACTGTTTTAACTCGTCTCAAACGCTACCCATACAGGTTGAAATCAACCTTTCAGAATCGCACCACCGCGTCACCGCAAGCTTCAGGATCTGATGAACTCCCATTGGTTGCGCGAATCAGTGAAGGAGGAGGCGAGAACAGCCTTCCCATTCAAAGCACTCAGCTCCAACGAATATATTTTGAATTCATATGTACTCACCGGTGTGTCGAGCTCGTCATCTGGAAGGCCCCAGCACAGATTCGTGGAATCAGTAGGAGAGATGCTATCACAGATAAGTTAACCAAAGCTATCTGGAAGGCTCCAATCAAATTCAAGACGCACGTGTAGCGTCCTCGAACTCTGCCCTCCTGGATGGCGAACTGCTGGGGACGGTCGCGCCCAACAATCTCAGCATCAAGTGAAGCACGATTCCCGCAAGAGGCGTATGAGGCGTGAGTTTGGTTTTGAAAGGTATATTTGCCGTTCCCGAGCTGGACGATGTTCCACTATGCCGAAGAAAATGATGAATAATGGGATGATAGGATTTCGTAGATGATCATTTACCAGGACAGGGAGACTCCCTAGGCTACCTGGGGCAGTGGCTTGCAGTGGGGATCCATCGTTTGGGTCAGCGAGCTGGAGCTGGTTCTTGCTGCGAACATTCTGAATGATATAGCGGCCGGTGCTAATAGTCATAGCGAGTGTAAATGGAGAAGAGGACTAGATGTGAGAGTTGGCTTCGGGTTGTTACAGTGATTGGCCTCCGTCATCCTTCTTATACTCTAGCTGTGTACTATTCGAAAATAGAGGACCACATAGAACGTTGGAGAACTGATGGATCATGATTCCCCGGGAAATGAATGAGGATGACGCTCCTCACGCTTGTCCTTCATGAAATGGATGACACACGACTGCGGCGAAAGTTTGTGCCCTGGAGGTTGGCCTCGTGTAAATTTGAATGGCGATAAGAATCACAGCTGTAGTCCCTAAACAGGTATACTGCCCATCATTTTATTATCCCGTCTGGACCTAGGTAGACATTTCGGTCAGAAGACATAGAAGATGTGAGCGTGGGGGCTCGGGAAGAGCAGCCACAGCATGTCAGTAGCTTCCGGGATATTACAGAGGAAGAGTTGGCGTTCACTGATACCGTATGATAGTCGGCGATTGAGAGTCGACGATTCAACAGATTGCCCATGACGGGCGGATGAACCGATGAGTGGTCTTGGTGGCTTGATCGGGGACTTATGCATCATATGTATTGGTATCACGAAATGCCATCTGTATTCTTCGCCGGTAGTCACAGGATCTGGCTTAGTCCAGGGAATCCGGAATGATGAACCACACGGAGATGAATGCAGAGGCTAGAAGCCGGCCCGAGGAGGACAGCTATCCAGTTTGAGAACATCGTCCGCCACATTGTGGTCTTTGTCAAAGAGTGACTTGAATCGATAGCGTCCTCGGATCCTTATTGATAACGATTCGTTTCTCTGGCCACGACATGGAACTGAGCACCATGGAGAACTCACTCACTGCCATGTGATGACAAGAAGACAAAAACTGTGGAATATACTAGTACAGCATTCGAGAGATGCGGCCGAATATTGTTCAAGACTTGCTTCAATTTGAGGAGGATGGGGATACATGCTTCTAAGCTAATCGCAGAATCAGTGCAATGATCGACTGGGATATCTATGTAAGCGCACAAACAAGCATGGCGCAGGAGAAGACAATAAGCCTACTTGGCGACGGTATCATTATATCGGACTTCAGTTGAAAATATGTACGGATGCATTTCCCTCATGGATGCATTTGGCGAGTTGAAATTGATTTAGGAGCATTGATGTACGTATACATGCACATTGGCAAGAGGATACAGGTGGCTGCGGAGCATACAGATCTGACGGTCAAATGTACACTAACGTCCAAACGTGATCACTATTCAAATACGGATGAACTCCCACTGGTTGCGCGTGTCAGTGTACGACTGCGCGAGCGTTACCTATCACCGGTGCAAGTCAGAGAACGCTTCATACAATAATTGACCACACATACAGGGGTATCGAGCTCATCGTCTGGGAGACCCCATAAGAGTTGAGAATCTGTGGGAGAGATGCTATGACCCACAATCAGTTTCAAAAGCCATGACAATCAGCGCAGAATTTCACATACGTGTAGCGACCACGGATACGGGTCTCCTGGATCATGAATTGCTGTTGCTGATTTCTGCCGACAACTTCTGCGTCCAAGGCTGCGCGGCGTCCACAGTTGGCGTAGGACGCATATGACTGGTTCTGGATAGAGTATTTCCCGTTTCCGAGCTGAACGATATTCCACTGTGAACGTGAACACGCGATAAGTGCTTGAGATGCAGAAATCAAGCAGTAGGAGTCACCTTAATGGCCATTGTGCCAGTGCGGTCATCCGAGGTTGACTGCAGTGGAGAGCCATCGTTTGGGTCGGGGAGGTGCAGCTGGTTCTTGCTGCGAACGTTCTGGATGATGTATCGACCAGTGGGGAGAGACATGGCGGTTTACGACACGGTTTAGCGGTGTCTTACAAGTCGCAGGGCACCGGTATATGAGGGCGGGGCGAACGTCCAGTCGAAGCGCACCATGAGGACGAAACGGACCTTGAGCACCTGAATCGTAGAAACGAGTTTCCAATCGTAACGATGTGGCCCAAGCTTGTGTGGCCATGTACAATGTACCGACAATTGGTGGAGTTACGCGATCGCCATGGTCCAGGATAAGATACGATAATGACACTATTGTTCGCGCAACGTCGACAGGTGTAACAGATGATCCGGATAGCATCAATGAAGTGGAATATTTTTCCGGATCCTGGTGTGAAAGTCAATGGCTCGGGATCGAGCGACAGTCGCTTCCGACCGCATTGGGGGTCAATGTCGCGGTCAGGCGTGAGATGGACCCAGGCATAGATAGCTATAGGAAGTCAGCAGATGCATTCGACGAGACAGAGCGATTCTAGACGTACGCTGCCGGGCGGGGAAAGTCCAACATAGTTTGATGGAATCAGATGCCATGCAACGCGATCAGCGAGAAGAGACATAGCACTGCTAGTCCCGCACGCAAAACATATGCATTTCAGCCCCGCGGTCGAATAGACACATGTCGCTTGAGTGTGCGCCACAAACCTCTCCAGAGACCACTATGCGACCACGCTGTTATCCCAGTGGCCTTATTGCGACTTGAAGGGGAAAATTTTGGCTGAAGCCCTGGCCTACAGAGATAGCCTCAGCATGAATACGGGCCAGACGATCTTCCTGCAACAACGATTAGCAAGATAATCTGCGACGAATATGTCGAGGGTAGGGTAGAATCAGGGGAGTTCAGCGCCGGTACAACAAGATGTCTGGGTTGAGGAGCCCGGATGCCAGAAACGGCAGCACGACAGCCCATCCTCAGAATGAGAGCTGCAAGTATTGAACGTAGCCATATCTGCTGACTGCCAGTCCCATGTCATATTATCTTCGAGATCAGCGTGAACGTGTCATGAACGTGGTGGCTGGATACACGTGTTATGGACGTGGTGGCCAGATACATGTGTTATGGACGTGGTGGCCAGATACACGTTCAGACGAAGCCTAGCGGAGTCGCGGATGCTTTTCATTTCACCATCGTCCCCAGTTCCTGGGGTCGCATAGTCCACTTCAGCGGCGGGTAGTCTAGTTGTCTCAGGCGACATGCCTATCATTTGGACCACTCACAATTATCAAAGCATTAGAAGGACGTCGAGACAATGGTGAGCGGCTTCAAACCGAGTAGGCACAGACTCCGAGAGAGACAGACACCGCCTGTGCGGCGGTATGCCCAACACCCGACGCCTTGTATATCTTAGAATCATCTGAGGAGCACCTCAAGCAAGAGCAGAGCCTATGAGAATTTTCATGACGCTTCGTTAAAGGACACGGACGATGACAGACGCGGAGAAGACAAGTATCGAGTGAGCAAGCGGTCACGGTAGTAGGCGCGTATCAGTGCGACCTGCAGTGTCAGCTTGTGTCCGACGCTCGCAGCCAAAAATCATTCGCTTGTTTGAAGCTCTGAATTTGCATGCAAACACCACCTAGGAGTAGTACCTCCGAAATGCAAACGATACATTCAAGTTTTTGAAATTACTTGTATGTCCATCAGTCAGAAAAATTGCCCCAAAGTCTCCCTGACGAATTGGCACGCCTGGCAACTTCCCGACTTCGAAGACTGTTCGGAGCAGCCGGCCATTCACTTATCCGCGCAGAGATTGAAAGACGTTGTTTATCTTTGGTCTCTTGGGTCGTCGCAATGTAGAATCAACATCTTGCGAGGAGCGTTCATCTCTAACCAAGTGAGGAATTTTTGACTACTGGTACAGACATCGAATATCTGACATTTATCTTGTCATCTCAAGTCTGATTCACTCGCTAAGTATTTGTCGCTGGTGACTCACGCGTATGGTATCTCCTTGGTGTCGTCAGCTCCACTTGCATGTACCGAGGCAGTAGCAAAGTGTACACGATTGCCTGGTAGAGTCTTGACGCTGACCAGCTAGACCCCTCCACTAACTCTCGATCCGCGATTGGTGGAGGAACTCACTGAGGATCAACTTCGTACATCAAGGTCCGCATCCCACTCGAGGATGATCGTGCAATTTTTGATTTCCGTAAAGCCACGATGGTCCGTGACCACCATTTCAAGTGCCCCACCTCATTCTCGTCTTCCGATGTTCCGTATCAACTGCAGTCTGCTATCAGTTCGATATCTGTCTCTGGATGCTCCACGAACGTTTATATTCAGTTCTGAGCCCCAAAGGGCATATTTACTGGTTTGCAGATTCACGCTCACTTGACAGTTCCTCGTACTCGCTTCGTAGAGGATGGCTGAGACAAAACTGGATGGTATTTACACGATCGTTAACATCGAGTATGAAAATCGCGTGAAGCTACCCAACGATAACCGGGAAGAGCAGCTCGCTTGCATTATACCCGATGCTGCTCAAGTTTCTTGTGGGGAAAAGGTGAGATGTCGACATATCTAGGCTTTTATGACAAATGATCAACATTCATACTGTTAGTGGCAGTTCACCGCTAGTACAAAAGGACGCCACGTAATAAAAAGCGACGCATATTGCTCCTATATCGCTGCGAAATACCCATTCGATACTGATTCATCGGTGATTGGAAATGAGGGGAAAGCTTGGTGGTATATCGAGAAGGCGGAGAAATTTGGACCCTATGCTTACACGTATGTCATTGTCACTTCCGCGCATGGATACTACAAGCGCATGGTACAGTATCCGACACACCGACAAGGACAACTTATGCTGGAGTCTTACTGATGGTAGCGACAATACACCAGTATGGCTATTCCCAATCCCGATCTTGGCAGCTCTAACATTGGGTTTGACTCATCCAAGATATATCTCAAACCAGTAGCACAGAACCGCCGAAATGTTTGGAAGGTGCGAGAGATGTGCAAAACGCTCGAATTCGATGACTCAACAGCGACGCGGTAACCATATAGATTGTCCCGTACCCTGCACCGAAAGAAGTTGAACAACATGATCCAAACCACAACGAATGCGAACAGCACATCCACAAGAGCGACGCAGGATTCGAAAACCAAACGACCAGTGATTGCATCGATGGAACAAACGATCATAGACTGCAGCAACGTGTTCACGCCCAACAGTCAGTCGGCTGCTTCGTACATTACCCGGGATAGACGTATCACTAAACCTCTGGGTATGCACCAGGTCTCCCGACCATCCAGACACTCGTTTTCCCGCCAGTCGGGGCTTTGATATGTCATCGTCGCGCCCAAAACATTCCGACACTCCAAGCGACAGGCGGAACCAACAACATCGGGATGAGGAGGCTGTACCTAACACGCGAGGGGCTTGGTAATTCATTTGATTGCGCTTGAATCGCTTATGCTAATACGAAAATCGGATGAACAGGTCCTCCGAGTGGTCTCGCAGGCCGCACGGAGAGGTGACGGATACGTCTCCGCCCTGGGCAAGCGAGAATCCTCGCAGCCAGTCTCAAACAAGAATGGTTGAAGATGAGGACAACATGACTTTCAGCTCTGGCAGGTTGGATCCGAGCATTCGACGGGCCGGAAGCTTCACAAATCAGCAGTATGGACATGGATCGATAAAATCTCCAGACGCCCACATACATCGTCAAGCTCACGCTAGCGAACGTCCCGCACCCTTGTCCCCTTGGATGGACGATGTAGAAGCTGGACCGGATTACCGGCGTCCTATGCGTTCCAATGGCGACAATGAACATACCAGACTCAATCGCTTCGCTGAAGGAGTGCCGGCCCGAGGTCAGACATTTCCGCAACCTGGTCACAATACGACGAACATGACTAGCAGGAGAGACTATGCGAGTGGCAGAAGCACACCATTGCACAACGATGCATTCATCTTGCAAACGGGACTCGAAACCTTGTATCGGTCGACGGGTGATACGGCCTTTGGAGCCCCTCGTCCGCGTGCTGAGTCTCCCGCGCCTCTATTCCAGATTGCGGGCAGGCCAAATGCATCAGCCCCAAGCAGCAATGCTCACTTAGGACTATGTGAGTGTGCCTTCGTCGACGGGAGTATTTATGCTAAATCATCACTGAATTCCACTGGTACAGTACCGCACCTCTTCTAAGAAGTCTCTAACGTGATAAGAGGATAGATGACTCACCATTTGTAGGTGAGAAACGGCCTGATAAATATATGATTTCAGCTACCCTTGCACGTATATACTTGCACAAAGCCTCTTAGTTCTCAGAAACTCAGACTTCGTGATGTGAACGAAGGCGTGCTGGTGGGATCAATGGATCGGCCGTGTTCTTTTCGTCATTCAGCCTATTATGCAGGCAATGGTCAGAAAAGGAGGCACGAATATATTCGGCCCAGTGGCTAGAGCAATTATAGTCGACCATGTATCTTCCAACAATATCTGTTGAAAAACTCTGGTTACCCCGTATCGAGATGGCGCCTTGAACGAGGTCTACCGCGTTCATTTGACAACCTAGATAGAACACCACGGGAAGAGCACGATTCAGTTCGGGCAAGTTGATTAGTCTGCGTGCTGCAGAGGGAATGACGTGCTTGTATTCTTCTTAGACTGGCTCGAGATTTTCCCAAGCGTAATGCAAGACATTATTGAATGCGTCGAAAGTAACAGGAAAGCGTTCGTGCGGGCTCAGAGGTACACCACTGGCACACTTGGGCGCCACGTCGATTATACCTACACATAACTATATCAATGAGTGATGCACGCCGTGCAAAGCTATTGCGAAAGCTGATATCAAGGTCGCTCTCTGACTAAAAACAAATTTATACCGAATAAGAGATGTAGTGTTTTCGCAAAATCTGGATGGTTATCATTTACAATATGAATGAGCTAGCAGTTCTGCTCAATGTGGAGGTGGCTGCATCCACAGATTCTCGAGAATCTGAGACTGTCGTGTGAAAACATAGTGGACCATGCGACCGAGTCAGATCTTCCGCATATTCCGAATGCTTTTATGAGATGATTTTTCCTCGCCTTCTTTCCCAGTAGGGCTTTGATCTTGAACTGTAAACGAGGCATTTCCGAGCCATCTACGGCGAGTATACAAAACAAGATTAAAACATGATAGCACTCAAAGCCCGGTGGAGTGCAGTAAGGTATCAGGATGCATGTAATGTACGGAAGAACTAACTAGTGATCATGCTATTTGACCCAGCAGAATCAGATTATAGAGTTACAAATTACATTATTCACAAGTACTCGACGTTCGATAAGCGGTACAACTCACGGGAATATTATTAGTTTGAGGTCGCCTTTACCAACAAAGGATCAGGGTCGGAAAACAGGCGATAGCAGGGAATATCATAAAAAAGCCCGCAGGAACGCAAGCGGAAGTGGGAGACCATCAGTCATATATTGTTGTCATGGTAAACTGTATATGGACGTACCAAATCATAATCGAATCGGGAAGAATTGCATATGCCCGGTCAAGCAGTATCAGACTGTTGAACAAGATCGAATATCTCGGGATTACTGAGTTATGCCAAGTCTCATAGCGCGTCTTGCAACTACACCGCTTCATGTTGTCGATGCAAGTTCTGCATAAGGATACATGCCCACCGACTTGTTCGATCTCCATATCCATATTTGACATAGGCAAGGAGTTGGACAACATTTTTTTCTTAGCTGCAACTCGCGCAAATTGTGCAAGACCCCATATACAGGTTCCACAGCAGCCCTCGAGATTGAAAGAACTACGCAGTGGGTCGCCGGGAAGGAGAGACATTGAAAAGGTGTTACAAGCGTGAACGAGCGCATTTCGTCCCTCAAAACAGCGCTCACAATCATCTTCAGACAGCTCTTCGAGCTGATTGTTGTGATAAATACCCCTGAAAAGATCCGCGGCACCGAATTGGCAGCATATGCAGAATGCCACCGGAAGAAGGCGATTAAGTTCGGGCAGATCGATTCCGCGTGCAAGGTTGATAAGGGAGATGACATTGTGGTGTTCGTGAGGGTCGAACTGACCCCAAAAAAACCGCTTCTGTTGTTCAAAAACATCGAAATCGACAGGAAAGAAACGGTAAAGGCGCAGGGGAACATCTTGCAGCAAGCACTTCATTTGGTACCTATGGGTCACGTAGAGGATACCGATCGCTATATCCACAAGAAAGTTATCTTGCGAACATTCCCTTAAAAAACTAATGGAGAGCACAGTGCTAAGCCATATGGCGTGAGAAACCGGAATGCAAATACTCACTACGTTTAGTATAGGGAATGCAGCGCGTGCTCAAATCCAACTGGATTATCGTCCAATGTAATAGTAACACAATCCTGTACTGTCAAAACTTGACTCGCGCGTGAAGTGACTGGCCTCAGTATGTTCTTAAATACAGGTGAATGCAGGCAGAGGAATGACCGGTGGACACGAAATAGCTTAGGCCCGGCGATAATGATGACGTTTCCATCGTCGAACCACAAATCGCCCACACAAATTTGCTTCCGGCTTCACCGCTACACAATGTTGGACGTCAGGAGTGGTCTCCACTGACATCTTCATTGAGGATCTGACGAATTCGACAGAGTAAACTTGGAGCCATAATGAATAAACGCACTTAAATTTGCCGATTTGAGGTGTCTATAAAACAAATCCTCAAGCGGGGATAGGATGAGCGTTCTACGAGATCATTAAGTACTAGTAGTAGGTAGCAAATGGACGATGGTTTGTCACAAGCCGCGACACGAAAAACGGGATACTGGACGTCGTGTCAAATTCCCACATCTCGTGACTGCGATAGTACGTACTACCATATCAAGCAAATGCTTCGTACGCGCATCGGACGTGGACTAGGAGTATGAAGGCGAATCGTCGACGTTCAAGCATTTTCTTGCTCTCTTGCCTCGAATAGTTTAGTATCTGGTCTTACAGAATGTGTAGAAAGATACGGAATCGCGACTTTCGAATTTCTGTGCTCTACGCCCTGAGGATTCCAGGCTTGTACTCACTGGAACTTCCCTGGCTGCGACATATGTACCCCGTATACGCTCGTAGCGCAGCTGGCGAGTGACATACTAGACGATGTTGATATCCTAGACGATGTTGATATCCTAGACGATGTTGATATGGATATCAGCATGATCAATAGCGCGGAGATCGCGGCGAATGGCATCCACACCGCATCGGACAACTAGTTCGGCCTCAACGTGTCAACAGCCAGTCATGAGCAGGCTTATTTACTGTGCGAGCTGGGTGGTGTGCATTCAACAAGGCTATAATGGAAACGATAATGTACTGAGTAAATCGTGACCGTGATTATTTCGGAGGGATGGCTCATGGCCATGCACTACTTACTGTAACACTGCATTTACAATCGAGATACGTGATTGACATTAGAGATGGTTCAAACAAGGTTCAAATGGGAGGGATGATACTGTGATATAATTTGCGCGTCATAACATAGAACTCCAATCGAAAATCGCGTTTGAAGGCTGGTCCTGACGGTCGTACTGACTTAGGCAAACATGCACCCAAAGTCTAATTCGTCATCCGATTACGAGGATTGAGAGCCGACATCGCGTCAGAGCAGATTTATGGGACGAATAAATGGATATTGGCTGGGTAAATAGTTCTAGTGATGGAACAACATCCAATGGTCATATTTGAACGATGCGAAGGGAACCTTCTAGAGGCATAATGGGAAAAGCGAGCAGCGAAATAAGTAGGACTTCGTGTAGTGAGAAGGACGATAAGGCCAGACCATGAGTGTGGATCGGTGCAAGCATCCCGTACGCAAGATCTTCTCGACCTCTCCTACTTCACGGTCGGCTGCCGTTCTGCGCTTCTGCAGACATCGTCTAGGTTTGAACCCGAAGATCGGAGATAAAGGCGTGGATCAAAAGAATAGTAAGGATGGCAGCGAAAGAGACATCAATAAACGCAGCGTGTCTTTGCTCAAGAAGGCCCGAATAAGTGTCGGACCATAAACGTATCTCTGGTTCAAGGTGAGCCCACGCGTCTGTGTGAGGGCTCCCAATCGACCGAATTTCCAGAGGCAACAGATGTGAGGGCGAAGGCGAGGTCCTGAGTGTACAATATCAGGGATAAGTTGCTGATCTTGTACGCCATGATACGTACCGTAAGCTGCTGCGAAATGGTACTTTCGCACTTCCTGGCTGCTATCGTCTGGATGAAGACGGATGGTATTGCAGACCCGGAAAATCACGTATCTCAATGTAGCAGCCAGCTTGAGAACGAGTCCACAGGATCACAAGTAACAGTTATCTTGCACATGGTCCTGTACCATCGAAGCACACGCATACGCACTCACCAGTTGAGATCCCTGACGGTGCATCGTCGTCCGTGTCGAGGTAATTAACCCGGCCGTAAAGAAGACATAGAATAAATGCGTCGGGCAGTCAAAACAACCTGATCCCTGAGACTGAGTATATAGTTCGGACTAAAGAATCGAGAGTCTGAAGAAGGTGCGGTAGACACAAAACACTTTCGGTGTTGCGGGAATCCCAAGAACGTTTACGTCGTAGAAAAAATCGGGTTGGTGTAACATAAGCTGCTGATACACGTCCATCGGCGTATGACTGTTATCCAACCTTTGCTCGAATAAGAACACCCAGATATGCTTGAGAATGCAATTTTGTCGAATGTGACTTGCCGACCGCTTCGTCGAAGGCCTGACGGATTCGACAGAGCGACCTTGGCCTACTATGAGAAATTAAATGGATCGATAGTTTCAAGAAGTGGCTCACCGTGATATAAGTTGGAGCAAGTATGCGTGTTCAATAGAGTGACGTGGTACTAACAAAGCAGAGAATACGGTGTATTGCATGGAATTGTCCACGGACGCGCCGCGCCTATCGAGTCGGAGGCAACGTGACCGCGATAGCACCATATCGGGCATATGGTCCGTGCACACGCAGTCATGCGGTATAAAGACTGCGCTCGAGCATCAGGAATCCTCACCACTCTGGCCTTTTGGCTTAGATCAAGTGTAGTATCTGTTCTTAATAGTTTAACCACTATTATGGAGGCACCGCCTCCATTCTTGGTTATCTTATTTTTGCCACCCTTTGTCGTTGAGCTCTGCTTGCAACTCGGCGGCGTGATGACCTTGCTATTGCAGTATTGGTTTGTGTCGTCGGGGGATCTTGCTCTTTCTTTTTGCCTATGCCTCCATTACCTATCAGTTGATGGGTTGATTGGGATAGGAAAATGGATTAAGCATTGGTCTGAAGGGGGCTCTGGAATTTCTTAGTCATCCTTGGTATGTGCTTGAGTTGTGACTTACGATGATTTGCACTTATTGATGAGTTGATTATTGCTTATGAATGGATTGGTTTGGACAATTGAAATTTTTTCTGTACCAGACTGGAATTAAGGAATAGAGAGACCAGAGATTCAGTGCTTCTTGCATACTGCTGGTAAGTTATCACCCAAGGAAAGCTTTGAAACAGTGATGTTTCTTGTTGTCCTATTGCTACCTGAGTCAAGAGTGTAGGTTTTCACACAAACTGTGATTTGTGCTTGTGGTGCGTGACTTTGTTTTTTGGTTTGAGTGCCTTCATTATTGATGTATATAATCATTACTTGACATACCCACGACTCTACTGCTCAACTTGGCTTTCTGCCTCCTCATGTTTGAATTGCCAAGTTCCTGGCTGATGCTCCCACTTACTAGATGTGCCCGCCAGGAGGTTTAACCGAATTGACTACGATGCGGAGTCCCGCTCGGAACTTATGACCACCCCGGGGTCGCGCTATCGAGTGAGTGTTCCGCCGCATTTGGAACCAACTTGGGCATGTGAGGATAGAACATTCGACATAGGAATGCCTGGTGAGATATCCTCCGCTGCTTCTTCTGCCGACCATTGGTCAGGCAAAGTGAAAGTAGGCTTCAGGCCTTCCGAAGGGAGGACCCCCAATCGCCGGTCTGGCTTTCGGGGCCACTAAAGGCACATGTATGCAATGTCCACGGATGCATTTGTGCAATTTCGCCCACCATCGCTCAACTCGTGACGCCTGGACATGCGCGTTCACGGCATACTTCGACATGAACGTGCTGTGTTCGTCGAGCGGACATGACTTTCCAGCCATATTTTTAGCGGCGCAAGGAATATAAGCCAGGGATCCTCACCCACGAGACTCAAAGCCCGGCGAAATGCTGTCGCAGCTCTCCACCATCGCGCTTTGCGCAGCTGCTGCGCTCGCGCAATCAACCAGCAGTGTATTCGACGTGCGCCTGTCTCCTATTCAGTCGTGCGGCCATAGCTAATCGGAGATCGCAGTTTCCAGAATATCCGCCCGCTGGAACGCCCGACCCAAATTCAACGCTTGCCAATGCTGCGGGACCGCTCCCGTTTGGAATAGCGTCGGACCCGAAGCTGTCGGAGGCTTACATCCATTATGATACCGGAACATATGGGCCACAGATTGAGCTGGTCCATGCATACTATACCTACTGGCCCACGGTGCGTCCTATGATAAGCCTTTTTCGAGCTTGCCTGACAAATGGTGTTCGATCTCTCAGGGTGTCGGCGTAGCTAGCGATGGCACGGTATTCACATCCTTCCCGCGCGGAAACGAGACGTTCACTCTCGCAGTGTTCAACAGCTCCGTCACAGAAGCACCCTGGCCCGAGTGCGTCCCATACCATACCCGTTACTCACATACTAAGACCATCTCTTTGCGCACAGCCAAGAGTGGAATACGCCTCCTGCGTTCGAGAATACCACCAATCCCGGTTACAGCATCGCGACGGAAAAGTTTCTGCTCGTGCAGTCTGTCGTCGTCGACGGCCTCGACCGTGTCTGGGCGCTCGACACCGGCCGCCCGGAGGTGAACGGCTCGTACCTGCTCGCCGCCGTCCCGGGCGGGCCCAAGCTCGTTGGCTTTTACCTCAACGGCACGAACTTCGTGACATATACGTTCCCCGCGAACGTGGTGTACGCCGACTCGTCCATCAACGATGTACGCTTTGACCTGCGCGGGCCCGGCTACGCGTACATGACCGACAGCTCGCCCAACCGGCCCGGGCTCGTGGTGCTAAACCTGGAGACGGGCGCGTCGTGGCGGCACCTGGACGGGCATCCCTCTGTGTCGCCGGATACGAGCTTCGTACCGGTATACGATGGAGGTGAGCTCTGTATGGCGGATGACTCGCGGGCCATGCTGATGACGAAATCGGCCAGTCCCCTTCTACCTGTACCCTGTCACAACGCCGTACGCGATCAACAACTTCGGTTTGGTCAGTGTCTCGATTTCCTTCGAATATTCTTAGCCATTGACCTGAGCAAATGTTACAGTACGCGGCCGATGGAATAGCGCTGTCGGCAGGTTAGTCCCTGCATTGCCTTCGCAGGGCGATGAGTCATGCTAACCAGGGCCATCTAAGATGGGTCCTACCTCTACTACGCGCCTCTGGCCTCCCGCCACTTCTGGCGCGTCCCCACGTCGTATCTCAAAGTTGAGCCGGGCCCTCTCAAACCCTACGCCTATCTACAGGCGAAGCAGGCTGTTGAGAGTCTCGGCGAGAGCGGCAGTAACGCGGACGGACTCGAGACGGACAGCTCCGGATACATCTACGCTGGGGCGCCTGGTGCGTTCGTCGCTATTAAGCAGGCGAGACCACTCTATTGACGGACAGTTGCGCCCTAAATCCAGAGCACAATGCGGTTACGAGGTACAACCCCGCTACGGGGCTAATGGAGCCGTTTGTGCGGTCTCCGTACATACAGGTAAGCGTCTGCTATGCGGAGTTATCTGCGCACTAAACGAACGGACTGGTGGCGGACTACAGTGGCCTGATACGCTGTCCGTCGTGACGCTCCAAAGCGGAGGCGGCTATGTGTACTGGACTTGCAACCAGTGGGTATTTTCTATCCATACAATAGAATGCTGGCTGAGATCTCGGCCTTTGTTAATAGACTATGGCTTGGGCCGAACTATCAAAATGGGTGAGTGGGCGCCCGCTCCTTTTGTTGTGACCGCTATCTTCGACCACATTCCTGATCTTGGCTGGGTTAATTTCGCAGCACGGACTTCCGCACGAAGCCGTACGTGATGTTCCGCGCGCCCATAGAAGCAGGCAAGGCGACGCAGCTCGATTGAGATGCTTGTTCGGCGTATTTTCATCATATCTGTGGTCAAGCTAACAAGAAAGGGCTTGCGATGGGCTAGATTGTATGTCGTATGGAAGAATCTTTACGGGAAAGCACGTCCGGTGTTGTTATACCGCATCGCATGCGTCCCAGTGCGGTCGCTCCGGGGATCTTTTTTGCGGGCTGCGTCTGTGCGCGTGCTCTCCGTAGACCACTGGCGTGGCCGATATCTGCCCCCGCGTGCATTGTCAACATGTGCGTCGATATCTGTGCCCATGGGGGGGGGGGGGGGGGGGGGGGGTG